CTGTTTTGGACATTTTTGTACCATATACATGCCCAAGTACCAGCCTGAAATATTGCCTGGCTTGAAGAAACCCAACTCAAAGACTTCACAGGGGGAGACAATGGTCATGTTTCCTTCGACAATTAATTAATATATTATATATTATATATGTATGCCTTGCCTTCCTCACTTATTTTTGCTGTGACCAACCAATTAACAGATGTACAAGTGAAGTGAATACATCATGTCTGTACTCTGTACATGCATTTGAGTGCGAGAGATTGGCTCCTCAAATTATACAATAATTAATTAATTAATAATGTCAGTTTCCTCATTAACATCGGCTTGCCATAATGCCATTGCCAAGCGTAATGTATTTCCATTTCCTAATTAGACGGGGGATGTTTTGCTGAACCCGTAATTGGAGGGCATGATTATTCTTGCAAATTAAGGTGCTTTGTCAAGAAGATCCTGGTCAAGCTATCTCCTTTTTAAAAGCTTGCTGTCCAATGAATTTATGTCACTTGATCATCCGTTCTGTGAATCCGTGATGATGATTATATTCGTAATCCTAACTCACCAAGCTTACATTATGACTACAAAAAAAATGTTGCTGCCATAAACTAAGCAATCTCTGTGCCTAGTCCTAGACTTTGCAGTTCCAGTTGCAGGACCACCTCTATTCATGACTCCATCGCTTATGCTGCTGGTGAAGATGAAGGGGAATCGCCAACTATACAAGAAGAAGAAGAAGATGACGACGGAGATGATGGACAACAGGAATAACATAAAAATGGGACTCTGTTGCAGGCAGAAGAAATACCTCAAGCTTTTAGCGCAGAAGAAAAAGGAGGAGGAAGTGAATCTTTGATAAAGCTACGAGAAGAAGAGATGGACACACCAGAGCTGGAAACAAATCATGTTAATGACTACTTAGCCACTACCAGTACAGAACAGATGAACTCAATAAAAAATTCAAAAAATTTATAAGAAAAAAGAAGGAAGAAATCAGGATTGAAGCTCAACAGCAACCCATTGCCGTTTAACCATTCAGCGAGAAGATGTGCCACTGCACATACATAAAACATATACAGTTCAGCTTGTTTAAGCGAGTATCGTATAGCCGCGCGGCTATACCTTTAAAATCTTGTATTTATAGTGTATAGCCGTGCGGCTATACACTTTAAATCAACATTAAAAATATGAATTTCTCTGTAGCAAAGCTGAGCCTTGAGATAATGAATCAATTAGACACGGTATGTATTTCTAGCTTTGTTCCTTGTTTGTGTGTTGAATGTGTATGAGAAGTGATACAAAGAGATTGCTTATCTTTCAAAGTTCCCTTTGTCATATTTCCTTATATATATATATATCCAAATATTTAAACATTATAGCCATGTGGCTATACGCTTTAAACATATTATGTTTTAATTATGAGTGGTGATTTTCCCACTCCTATTTCTTCTATTTTATCCACTTACACTCCTTTTTTATAACTAAAAAAGGAGTGTAAGTGGATAAAATAGGAGTGGGGAAATCATTACCCTTAATTATTATATAATATTGAAAGAAGAAAAAATCCACAAAAAAATTCATTATTATTTATTAAGTCATTTATGAAGTCGGTAAAATATTTAAATATTCACTAATGGTGCGTTTCTGTCTGTCTGCAAATGAGGACAAGACGTGAGTGCCAAATAATTGCCAACAGTTCCAGTACAAATTATGAAAATACTTCTTCAATCAACCAAGGCCTTCATTGAAACACCAAATAGATATGATAGGATGTAGGGTCCAATTCTCCAAGACAAACAGTAATACTAATATTAGTTGGGTTTGGTCCAGCACCTCTTGGCTCTCTTGGAATGATGGAGAGTTCGGTTAAACTTGAATTGGAATTTGGAATTTGGAATTGGATTGAGGAGGACATGAGATGACCCCATGATCCAAATCACCGCTTTCTATAAGCAACTTAACTTGAAAAACTTGCAAAATACAAATACATATTACTACTCACAAACTTAACTTGAAAAACTCAATCTTCGTCATCTTAAAATTGCAGCATTTGATTGATATTAGGAACACTCTAGAGTCTAGACCCCCCATCAATTGAGTAGTTATCAGCTGAGCTAACAACATTAGTTATAGTGCCTCTTTCACTCCGTGCACCGCGTCGGAAATCAAGTATAGGGAGACTCTGGGGATCCTTTCAAATGCTTTAGTAGCTGCTGGTTGACATTGAGGATTTTCTCAAGGAATTGCAAAGCAGCAAGAAAGAATAACAGCATCAACCTCCGGCATTGCCTACTGTTGCGTTGTTCGTCTATATTATTATTAATAGGACATGCTACTTTGTCTATCTGTTAATCTAGGGTGGGCTGTTTAACGGACGTTCACATCATTAACTTCTCCAGATCGACCTTGGTTTTTTTAGTGCTTAGCGAAAAGAACATTACCCTATCATCACTTATGATTTTGTTTTTTTTTCTTCTTTTCCTCCACTGACAAAAGAGTGAACTTGAAAGCAATCCTTCTTTCGACCAAAAGTACTAAGATGTCCACGTGCACAAAAATATGTCCACAAATGATTCGCGGCTGCCCATATGTTGCCAACAGCCTCCAAAAAGTGTCTCATTGCGAACCACAACTTTTATAGCTTTGTTTGTGACAGAGCGCCCTCAATCTTTTAAAAGTTGCACACATAATGTGGTCCATTTAGGGGTGACAATGCCGAGTATGACAATACCATCTTCGTTTTCATTTTTATCTTCTGCTTTTGCTTGGTCTAAGCTCTTATTTTGAGAAGAATTATTAAAAAATATTTATCATACATTATAACACTTGTGTTTCAGATTAAATTACTATTATACTCAATTTCATTTGATTGAAGAATAAAATTCAACTCAACTACATGGTTATATTTTATTAAATAATTTTGTTAGTCCCAAGATAGACTTAATAATAACATCTCAAATCCAAGCATAACCGATGATTTATAAAATTTGAGAATCCTTGTATCCGCCCCCAATTTTCTGTTGAACTCTCACCTTCTTAAAATGGGGACTCGACCAGACAAGAATTTCTCCCATCCCAAATTGATATTAAGAACACTCTAGACCTCCCATCAATTCACATACATACCGTACGATCTGATCAACATAACCTATGGTCCTTATGGAATATCCTAGAAAGGTAAAGTTTCAAACTTTAATTGATTTATCCAAAGGGGCAATGGCTGTTTTGTTCTAGTACTATGTATTGTGCCCTAAAACAAGGCCCGAAACAAAAACGGGCGCGTAACGAACGAAAAAACATTACTTCAATCCCAACGAGTGCCACGCAGCATCTTCAATGTCCGTTGAAGACATACAGAGACAACCAGGTGTCAAATCCTCGGATAAAATGTCCTTATCCGACGAGCTAAAGCAACAGTGATATTGATTTCACGAGTAACAGGCATCTCTGATTGGTCAAGCTGTTGGTTTGAATTTGAGAAATAATATAAATACAGCTCCAGGGAAATCTTTAGGGCACGAGCACACTGTGAGTCACTACACTCGATACTCGAAAATGTCTGAGGCAGAGGCAAAATCAGCTGCTCCAAGCGCTGAGCTTTTGGAATGGCCGAAGAAGGACAACCGTCGCGTCCTTCACGCCGTGTACCGCGTCGGCGATCTCGATCGCACGATCAAGTACGCTTCTTTACGACATTGTTCATACTGATCTGTGATCACTGATCAATTTCCATGGTTTTCAATTTTAATTTTTTGATTTTTGGAAAAAAATTCAGGTTTTACACAGAGGCTCTGGGGATGAAGCTGTTGAGGAAGAGGGATATTCCTGAAGAGAAATACTCGAATGCATTTCTGGGATTTGGGCCTGAAGAGTCTCACTTCGTGGTCGAGTTGACCTACAATTATGGAGTGTCTTCTTATGATATCGGGACTGGTTTTGGACATTTCGCCATTGCTACTCCCGATGTAAGTTTTCAGAGGAATTGGGTTTTGGGTGCTGGGAATTGGGAATTGGGATTTTGTTCTTCTTGTTGTTTCTGAATTTTCATAATGGGTGGGTGGAATTGTTTGTAGGTTAAAAAGCTGGTTGAAAAGGTTCGCGCCAAGGGTGGTAATGTGACGAGGGAGCCTGGTCCTGTGAAAGGTGGGACCAGCATCATTGCCTTTGTGAAGGACCCAGATGGTTACACATTTGAGATCATTCAGCGACCTTCCACCCCTGAGCCACTTTGTCAAGTAATGCTCCGCGTTGGTGATCTTGAACGCTCAATCAAGTTCTATGAAAAGGTAATTAATTTAGCCCCCACTATAGGAAATTAGGAATACAAAAATGTCAACTTGATCTGGGTTATCAAGGAATTTTACCATTAGCCATGTTTTATGTGGCAATTTCAGTAGGGTTGGTAGACACTAGGATTTTAAGTCTCCTATTACATTATATTAGCATGGAAAGGCTTCAGCTTTGTCCTTGTTTGAAACCAAGTGATTGTGTTCATCAAATCCATTGTCATGATCTGTTTCTTAATCTTGTCCTACTTCTTGGCTTTTGCAGGCTTTGGGCTTGAAGCTATTGAGGACGATTGAGAGGCCTGAATACAAGGTGATTAATCCTCTTCTCACTAAGCATTATGATTATGTTAGCAGCATGTATATGAGTGGGCCTTATTGAATCTTTCCCATTTTCTCTTGTTGCATACTTTTGTTTGCAGTACAACATAGCCATCCTGGGATATGCAGAGGAAGACCAGACAACCATTTTGGAGTTGACTTATAACTATGGTGTGACTGAATACACCAAAGGAAACGCATATGCGCAGGTTATTTAATATGTTTATTTGTCCTCCTCTCTTTTAGAATCTTTTGCAACTTCAATTTTTTTACTCTACGAAGCTGTTAATTCTGATTCCACGTTCCCGATCCTTTATCGTCCACATCAGATTGCTATTGGTACTGATGATGTCTACAAAAGTGCCGAGGTTGTCAACTTGGTTACACAAGAACTTGGAGGAAAGATAACCAGGCAACCTGGACCAATTCCCGGACTCAACACCAAGATCACTTCTTTTCTGGATCCAGATGGCTGGAAAACTGTGAGTCTTGTTCGCTATTTGGCGCTTAACTTTCTCTCAGAAATAGTTTGATTTTGTAGGTGCTGTCTAAATTGCATCCACCATTGTCTTATTAGTAACATCTCATATAACGTAGTCACATAAGGAACACCGAAGTGCAAAGATGACAGAGAACATAATTAATATGTCAGATCCTCTGTTATTTTTTAGGGTTTTTTTATGGCATCTGTTTGGCCCTTTATAGATAAAAAAACTACAATGTCAATTTATGTATTCTTTTGGGGAGAGGAGTCATATGTAACTGAGCCGTAGCTGAAAATATTAAAGCCCCAGCATCTTTTGAAGTGCACTAGCAGTTATTATTTATCAATCATCACATAATGTCTCCTTCTTCCGCCAATATATCTAACATGTTGTGGTTTTGACTTTCGTCCGCGTAGGTGCTGGTTGACAATGAGGATTTTCTCAAGGAACTGCAGTAAGCAAGAATATAACCGCATGAAGTCAAAGTATCTGTGGATAGTCCATGTCATATGAATAAGATATTCCACATGCTGTATTAGCAACCAGGCATTGCCTGTTTCAGTATGGTTGTGTGTGTTACTTGGTTTGTCTATTTTAGTAGGACGTGGTACTTTGTTTGTCTATTTTAATAGGACATGGTACTTCGACTCTCTGTTTTAATATGGTTGTCAAAGTTAATCTATGTCTGTTTTAACGTGGTTGTACTATGGTAATGGTAGTAACCGAGGTTGACATCATTGTGAAAATTTTATGATTGTGTCGGTTTAGTAAAGTGATTTTGGAGTATTAGCAGAGGCCACAAGTTACTTAAGCTAAATCGCCCTCCTCCTCATGAACATGAAGTCATGAACTAAATAAATATTATTTGATGGGGATGCAAGTAAGTTTGTATAAAAGTAAACATTATGAAGCAGGAGAATGCCCGCAAATCCTTGGAGTCAAGAAAGTCATTTTTGGGATGCTTATTCATATCCTCGATTTATAAACCCCATGGGCTATTGCTCTTCTGATACGTCCATAAAGAAGGATAAATAAATTTTGTGTTCTCCCTTTTTTCGTTTCTTATAGTTTTGTTAAAATAACAAGATGGTAGTATTGAGTTAGAGAATTTAATTTAACTTTCGCTTTTTATTCACTACTGCAAAACTATGAAAGAATTACTAGTCAACAAAGCAGAAAGCATAGTAGACTGTCGTAACACACAAATTTGAGTCTTTCATGTATCATGCCTATTGTTTACACATGTACTTGGTTTGGGTGGGGTGGGGAGGGGACCTAAAAAGCAGAACCGAAACTTTTATGCATGGCTACACCTACACACATCCATCAAGGTTAAGCTTGTGCCTCCCTCTGTTTATATCAACATATCATGACATTCCAGAAACAGTAAACACCCCCGTTTGGAGGATAAGAAAGAATGATAGAGAGTTCAAAATGAAAGAAACATGAAGCTTTGAGAGGAACTTTCTCCTCATTGGAAGAGCCTCATTGAGAGACAAAGGTATTCTTATCCGGCTTCAGCACCCACGATATCAGATATATACACATTGAAGCTTGATCTGTGTTGCATGGCTGGCAATCCAAAAGAAATACTAAATTGCGCCCAAGAAACTATAACTTCTATGGAATTGTGTCCATTGGGTAGCTACCAAGGACACGGAGAAATCTTGCAAATTCCTGCAAAAGAAAGTAGTAAGTTCTTCAATCCATTATACTTTATACTGTCTGGTGACCTTTCTTATTTTATTAGAGGTGAGGGGTGGGAAGGTTTGAGAGGAAGAGATTGTAATTTCTAGCATCAGTGTGTCACCATGTGGCAAAACCTCCAGTACAAAAAAAAAAGTTTCAGAAGCCAAAAAATAAAGAGCATGATCTCGGTATCTAAATTACACAATACTGACCTGCAGATGTCCCAAAGCATATTGGGCACGGGGCTCTGCCATAGAAGCTTCAAAATCAATGTAAAAGAGGTAGTCGAAATACCTGCGAAACAGATCAATCAATTGTGTAGAATAGAATTTTTGTGGCATATCTACATTACCCAAATCTAGAGTCATCTCATTTTCTATAAGTACGTAGAATTAGTTTCACCAAATACTTAAGCAAAAATTTATTTACAAGTCATTTCTTTGACTTAATCTTACTGTTTGTGGTCAAATATACATTAAAAGAAAAAGATGTTAAAGTTTCTATGATACTGGCTTAGTTTATTGCGTGGATGTGTAAAACTTATCATATTTTACATCTGATGCAAAAGAGTATACCACTCACTTGGCACTCCCTTCATTGGAATCATCTACAACCCTTAATGGACGTTGTCTCTGTGGGCGACTCTCTATCTGAAATTGCTCCAAAAGGAGAAGATATTGTCAAAGGTATTTATATAGTGGTGAAAATGAAATAGAAAAAAAGAAAAGAAAAAAGAAGTTATTATCTGAGGTTACCTTTGTCAAGTTAATTCCCCTAAGAGCAAACACTGCTAAGGCTTTGAATAGTACACCAGGACCTTCTTCAAGAGTGAAAACAACACTCGTCTATGAAGAAGATTTACAAATAAATATTCAGAATATTAATCAAATACAAAGATATGAAAAAATAAAAGCCAAAAACAAAACAAAACAAAACAAAGCAAAGATTTATACCTTATATGGCCTATCAGTCCCTGGAATTATTGGTTCTCTAGCAAGTATCAGAAAGCGAGTAATATTATCGTCATCATCCTGGCCAGCGCAAAGTGGGAGCAAATTAAATGAAGTGGCATCATTTGTAATCCACAACAGCTATTGTCTTAAGGAAAGAAACAGAGGTACAATAAAAGGTCTAAAAACTCCGAAGTATCCATCCAACAGTATTGCAGAGGGTGATGCAGCTTTGTAGTATGAGATCAGCCTTTGTTAGTAAATTGTAAATGCTCAAAGCAAGAAAATTTTGACGTGTGGAACTCCATGTCATGCTTGGAAGAAATTGCTTTACGGACACCCTACCAAACTAACTTCATGGCATGCTGAGACATTGGTGTAAGTACATCTTTTGCTTTCTTAAGAAGCAGAAAGTGAATTCTCAATCCATCCAGATGTGTACCATATCAATACAAAATTGATTGTTCGAACAGGGAAGGAGACTTAACAACATATTAAACCCAACAAGAATTTCTAAAAATCTAGTCATACTTGAATTTTTTCTGCAAGAATGTCAAGCCCATAGATTTTTGCAGCTCGAGCACTTGCAACCGCACCCGTATTTCTTAGGCCAGTTGAGGCCACCATCTGTACAGAATGTCCTAATCATTAGCATATAAACAGCCCTAATGCCTATCACAGTGTGCTTTGACAGAATACAGAAAACAAGTATTGGTGACCTGCGCAGCCAGAGCAGAGTCATCAGCATTGATTCTGACGATTCCCAAACTGCTTAGCGTCATCTCACATTGAGCAAGAGCCTGCAAGCGAAAATGTTCGCAACAAAATGTTTGAAGACCTAGGTCTTTCATTTCAAAGATTAGCTTATATATGCATGCATGTGTGCCGTGTAAAAAACTAATTAGCTCCAGTCTAAAATTTTCTGCCCCAGTCAAACCAACTAGAAGGTGGCTAAAAAGTGCTAGGTCAAGGCCTATAACCCAGTTTGTTACAAGTTCCAAACCTAAGCAAGCAATTACAATGTGTTAGTACTATTTGGTAGTTGTTAAAAAAACTACTAGTAGAGGTTACAGGACAAGACAAGCCAATTATGGAGGAGCTCCAAAATTGAGCCTTTCCCAGTGAAATTCGCTCTTGGAGCAAGCATGAAGGTTATTGTCAACTTTTAACATACTTACTGGTACCATCCATCCTAAATATTAGCTATCATTACAGATTTTTATTTTGGATGTGCTACAAAGCAATTAAGAACCTAAGATTACCTAACTGGGAAAAAAAAATTATTGTTGCAAATGGGACAAAAAAATTATTGTTGCAAATGGGACAAAAAAATTATTGTTGCAAATGGTCAGACAAAATATTCATCAGCTTTCCTTGTATGCAAATATAAAAATAAGAATAAAAAAGAAGTGCAAGACCAACCTGAGGATGGCTTAAAACCCGTTTTAGTTCCTCTTTTGTTACACCAGGTAATCCCAAAAGACAATGGTTCACTTGCAATTGTACCTCTCCAACTATGTGCAATCTATGGCGAAGGAGTAAGTCATAATTACGGTGGATGCTTCCACCAACAGAATTCTCAATGGGAAGAACTGCTTTATCCACTAACCAAAGTTCAACTGCCTGTTAAATAAAAAAATAAACTCAATCAAGGCACACAAACAGGAAAATATAATAAAAAGGGAAAATTCTTTAAAAAGATTATTCAAACCTTAAACGCAGCTTCAAACTGGTCACATGGGACGGTCTCACACTTCGGATAAGCTTTTAGTGCAGCGTCCTCACTATATGCCCCCGGTAACCCCTAAAACGGGAAATACAACTAACATAAGAACGAAAAGAAATCCATAACCACCAAAAGGAATGCAAGCAAATAATGAGAAGATCTACCTGGTAAGCAACTCTCACTTTTGAACCATCACTAGGAGAAGAAAGGTCATTTGCTGTCAATGGTTCTGCAATTAATTCATATTCAAGCTATGAGATGCAAGAAAGAAATAATTGTAAGAGAAAACTGAAACTAAAGGATCACTGGCATGAAGCAAAATTGTAGTGCATTAGACAACGACAAATATAAATATAGCTGAAAATGGTAAATAAACAATTGCATAGACAACTCATTCCCATAAATTAGAACAAAAAAATTCTTCTCAATAATTGGATGACCCCAAAATTAAAAAAATCTGATTGTTATACTGCATCTTGAATTCAACCTGTTGGATTGGTCCCACTTGAACATGGGTTAATAGATGTAATCCAAAGATGAAAATATCTGTCTACATACCTACATATCCATATATATATTTCTGTTTTTTTAAGCCACCTATATCCATAAGGGGATGGAAAAATATTACTGGTATCACAGCCGTCGGGATATTGATGGATTTTAGCATTAGTATGAATCGTCAAGATGTTTTTGCACATTCTAGTGGTGGAAATACATCTTAATTTCATTAATAAATTTATTGATATTTATGAAATTAAGATGTTTTTGCACATTCTATTCATCTTACATGAGTTTTTATTTTTATTTTTACAAAGTTCCTATTCATTTTGTTGTTTATGTAAAGTTTTCCCAAGTTCCCATCGATATCCGATATTTCCTTAAATATGAGATTACAAATACTGAAGTTTCGATCCATATGATATTTCCTTAAATATGAAATTATGAATATTGGTATTTTCACCAATATCAATACTTTCATAACCTGACTTGTGCTATACACCTGGGTCCTGTGTTTTTCTCAGAGAGCCTATTTGAGAGTCCTATCTTCCAGAGTAAATAGATTTGGCTCTGAAAGAGTAAGGCACTTACTGTTACATTTTTAGATCAACCTTGTGATAGTGGAAATTCTCCAAGTCCTCAAGCTGTCCTGTCATTAATTTTTATGTATATAGTTCTTAATTTCATTGATTCAATCCCTAATCTATATGGTTCACGAAAAATTAGTTAAATGCACCCATGTTACTGCTGTCCAATCGGACAGGCGTCATGTATAGCACTAAAAGCAGAACAAAAATCTTCTTCATGATGCTTACCTCAGTAACAACGGCCATCTTAGAAAGTAAAGCCACTAAATTTACAAGGATGGTAGATATTCAAAAGCATAGTAAAGGAGCCAAATCATTCTACATTGCCCAACAACTAGTCATAAGCTAACTTTGTTCTTCAACTACCGGATTTCTATTGTTCATTCCCAACATAGGCTCATTGGATCGCAGTAGACCATTCTATGTATACATACAAGTCTCTAACTGACAATTTAACATAAAGGAATTGAGCAAAAAAAAAAATTAAGAGCTTTTGAGTCAACTCACTAGGAAGAAGGTTCATATCCTTGTGAAATCCACTGGACTCATTGTCCTCAATCCGTTGAATTGCCCCTGAAGACTCGGCTCCGGTCAAGTTTGGCTTTTCATCTTCAACCGGAGTGATAGCTCTCTGAGCCGAAGCAACACCCAAACAACAACATTCCCATTTGCGGAAACTCAAATTGAAAGCCAACCCAGAACGAGTTGAGCCCAAATCTGAGATGCCTGGATGAGAACAAGGCGTTTTAGCATAACTCCAAGTGGGTGCACCCTTGACAGCCATGAATAAGCTCAATTTCACTGAACCCAGAATAATCCAAAAACCCAAAAGAGAGTCTCAGGCAAATCCAGGCTCATGTGAGAGGATGTAGTTGGTGAAGGGTTTGTTGGATGAAACCCAGTAGCACATTGTCAAATTGGACGAAAATGGTGGCTGGCCTTGGACCCACAAAATTGTATAGTCTTTGTATGTGTGATACAATGTAAGGTATAGTCAGTGGGTGAAAAAAATTGTAAGAAAATTCTGTGGGTGTTGAAAAGTATAGAACTTTGAGAGAGAGAGAGAGAGAGAGAGAGACCGACAAGTCGAAGTGATTAGAGGAAAGGAGTTTTAAAGAGGTAGGTGAGCAGAATGTTGTTAGCTACACCTCACACGTTGTTGCCTCAGCCTCGGGTAAAATAGAAAGAAACAAAATTGGCAAAGCTATAGAGAATTGAAGCTGAGTATATTTACTGATATAGGAAGAATGTTTTAATATTTGAATAAAAGTATTTATGAAAGGATCTGGCTTTTAGAGAGAGCGAGAGATAGAGATTTGTGGGGCTAAACTCACTGCTTCTTGTGAGTTGCATCCAATCATATAAGATGCTGCTGGATGTAGAAGTGGAACCTAACATTTTTGGTGAGGAAAGGTAGAGTCGACTTTACTTGCCAGATTTTTCATTTCATGGAAATATATGTTTTTGCTGTTAACATGTTAACTTTTGTCTACAATTCATAACACTTCAAGTGAAGTGTCTTACAGTTTATTACCACTTTCAAGATGTGAGTCACCATCTGCCATAGACACTGGTCAAATACTCCCACAGCAATGGGGCGATGCCCTTGGAGTTTTGTGTTGCCCCGGCGTCAAGAATGGGACATTGCCCCTAAAATCTTCAATCTGAGAACTAATGTGAGCAAAGATGTAGAATGTACGAGTATGTATTTTACTCTTGAAGTTAATAAATTATAACTAAATTTCGCGAAGAGAGAGACAAACTACGAGAGTTAAATCTATATAATATAAAAAAACCTCTATATTTTATATAAGTATTTTATTTATCATTGAAATTATTAAATAAGGATTAAAGTCTAATAAGAAAACGTCAAGAGTTAAACTTCTATAATTAAATGAGAATTAAATTCCGATAAAAGGATGTCAAGAGTTAAAATTCTATAATAGAGTAATTATTTTACCGTTAAAACTATGAATCAGTTTCGTCAGAAGGAGGAGCATTTAGTTAGCGATTTTTTTTGTTTTTTATTTTTGTCGTTACTTTTTATTTTTGCCTTCTTCTTCAAGCTTTCTAAATATGGCATTTTGTTGTGGATGAGACAAAAAAGGCTGCTATCTCAGAACTAGAAGGTCCTCCTGAGTCCTGACTCATGTACTATATTTCTTGGTTTATAGCAGCAGGGCAACTAGGTTCTCTGCACTTCACGCTTGCTTGGTTTGCCCAACAAGTAAATAGGGAAAAGATTTTTTGACACAAATGGCTCATTTACCATTCAAATGCGGCCATCTTTATGGTTTTCTCTTTTTGTCTTTTGGACTCTACATGGCCTTGTCTTACCAACTGAGCCCAGTGATCCTAGCTTCCAAGGACGAATAACCCTATGAAAGAGTCCAAACATCATCATCACAAAAAACACCAGCCCAATCAACGATCAAGTGCTTCTACAGCCCATTATCTATTTACGGGTCATCTACGCTTTCTGACCAAGTAAAAGTGCCATATTGCACTAAAGTCGGGGCAGTCTGAGACAAACACAAACAATGATAGGGTAGCGGGCCAGGCTTGTCCTGGCAGGCCGGGGGTCCCATGAGACGGCCGTGGGTCCCATGAGACTGGGCCAGCCCGCAGGCCAAATCAACCTAATCTCTAGTCTGGATTTGCTGACATCAGCGATGATGTCAGCAACAAAATAAAAAAATCTTTAAAAAATGCTAAAAATTTCAGATTTTTTTATTTATTTATAATAAATACTTAGTCATATTATTCACTTCCCATGCCAAAACTCTATACAAATTTCTCTAATAATATCTCATGTGAATAGTGGTTCTCATAGCAATGGGTGAAAACACCATAACTTTTTACAATTGCTGTCACTATTCACATGAATAGTAATAGCCATTGCTCCTCAGTACTCAAATTCGACTTCCCCTCTTTCTAGACGAAATTAATTTTAAAGACTATCACTTTATTTAAAAATAAAAAGATAACCAAACATTGAATTTGTAGAATGATTTTGATACCGCGGCCTGAAAACACCGACTATATATTTGGCGTATAAATTAAACAATAGTTTTTAGTACCAAAAATAAAAGAAGAAAAAGTTTGAAGTTGGTTGGTGGCTTGCTTTACTTTATCAGTTGCATCGTATGTGTCCACGGATTAGAGTGAAATTCGTTTGGATTTGGTCCAGCTTCACCCAAACACGCTCCCTCTTTCCTCTTCTCTCTCTGTGACAACAACAAACAAATTCACGACATACAGGCTTTTAGACGCTGACTTGACTACTCGCTCTCCGGCACCACATCAATGGGCCCCACAAATCATTCTGTAATTCCTCAGTTTTGAATATAGACAAAGGAACATAATTTATTTTTAAAGAAGATTAAATATATAAAATCACACGCACGTAACGTAACTGTTTATGTGTATGTCGTGAATTTGTAATTTAGTCGAACTTGATGATAAAAGACAAATCAAACACAAAGGAAAAAAGACAGAAATTCCAAGGACGAGGAGAAAAAACCAAACAAAACAAACGGAGGAGGAGGAAAAAGCACTTACATGGAAAGAAATATCCCCGACCCCTTGCCAGAAGCTTAGAATCAACAAAAGCCGTGCCGTTGAGCAGTACGGTTTTCGAAACCCAAATTCCTCCAAATGACGAAACTGCCACTCCGCCCTCTTCTCGTTCTCCCATAACATTCCATTCCCCTTTCCTTATCCAATTAAACACTCTCAAACTCTACTCTCCTTGCGCAGTAACGGAGGCACCCAACGCAAACCATGTCCAAATCGTCGGCCACTTCCACCGCGTCGTGTCCGCCACTCAAACCCGACGACTATTCCCACAGCCCGGTCCACTACGCCGTCGTTTTAGCAGACCACACCACTCTCTCCCGAATCGTCGCCGCCCTTCCCAGACTCGCTGATCCCACTCAGATCCACACAGAGTCCGACTCGCTCTCTCATGAACGAACCGCCGACCAGATCTCAGCCGTACTCGACCGCCGCGACGTCCCCTACAGAGAAACGCCCCTCCACCTTGCTGTACGACTAAACGACGCCGTCTCCGCCAAAATACTTGCCTCCGCTGGCGCTGACGTCTCCCTCCAGAACTCCGCCGGCTGGAACCCCCTGCAGGAAGCCTTGTGTCGCCGGAGCTCCGACATAGCTCTAATTCTCCTCCGACTCCACCATCGCTCCGCTTGGGCCAAGTGGCGCCGCCGCCTGCCCCGTGTCATTGCCGTGCTCCGCAGAATGCGAGACTTTTACATGGAGATCTCGTTCCACTTCGAAAGCTCCGTCATTCCCTTCGTCGGTAAGATCGCTCCTTCCGATACGTACAAGATCTGGAAGCGCGACGGGAACTTGCGAGCCGACACGTCGTTGGCCGGCTTCGACGGCCTGAAGATCCAGCGCGCCGATCAGAGCTTTCTTTTCCTCGGCGACGGCGATCAAAGCCACGACGTTCCCTCGGGATCGTTACTCGTCTTGAATCGCGACGATCGGAAAATCTTCGACGCGTTCGAGAACGCAGGGTCTCCGATGAGCGAGTCCGATATTGCCGGTTTCTGCTCCCAAACGAGCGTGTATCGGCCCGGCATGGACGTGACCAAAGCCGAGCTCGTGGGAAGGACCAATTGGAGAAGGCAGGAGAAGACGGAGAGCGTCGGAGAATGGAAAGCTAGAGTTTTTGAAATTCACAACGTGTTGTTCAGCTTCCGCTCGAGAAAAGTCGCCAATGGAGATGCTGACGTGGCAGGGAGCGAGCAGGTGCTTCCTCTTGAGCTAGACGAAGACGACGATGGGTTTTTAGTGGCGGAGAATCCAAGCTTTGGAATTCCGGACGGTCGGAGGCACAGTAGTTTTGTGAAGGAAGACAGGGAGTTCGCGGCATTGGGAAGAAAAAGTGTCGACGTATCGTCAATGGCCGCGGCGGCGCCGCCAAGGAGGTCTATGGCGGCTCGAGGTCCATGGCGGCAGTTCCGCCGAGGCCTATGGCTGCGGCGCCGGTGCAGACTAAAGAGAAAGAGTACGTGAGGAGCTTGAGGCCGTCTGTATGGTTAACGGAGCAGTTTCCGCTGAAGACGGAGGAGCTGTTGCCGTTACTCGACATTCTGGCGAACAAGGTGAAGGCAGTGAGGAGGATGAGGGAGTTGCTCACCACCAAGTTCCCGCCAGGATCTTTTCCGGTGAAGGTAAGGACAACTTGGACATTCGAACTAATTGGGGCCCAGTCTTGATTGGGTGGGGTTTAATTGCCTGTGTGGGGTCATGGGTCTTCTTTTTTTTGTCTGTACTTTGCTTTGCTTTTTTTGGTGCTTTTTATGCTTGATGAGAGAGCCTTAAGCTGTTTAAGCAACGAGGGCTGACTTGAGCTTCGTGACAATTGAGAAACTGTAGCCTCACTCATACGGTCAGTCTCACGCCTTTGTGGATCCCACAAGTGAGAGCTTCGTCGCTTTCTCATCAGACCATTGGATGATACCATACGTTTTGGAGCTTTTTTTTGGGGCCTCTCTGGTCGGTGATTTGACTTGTACTGCTTACGATTGTCGGGTTCGTCATCCGACGGTGGTGGTAAAAGTGAGACCCGAACCATCCCGAGAATCCCAATCTTTACAGGCAGGCATTGGTTGTGGGCCCAATTATTTTGCTGACCACCAACCATTTTCAGGCAAATGACCAAACATAGAGTTTCTTTGACCCTTGACTCTGCCACGTCAACAGAACTCATGGAGAGCTGACGTGCCATATTCCCGGTCTTAACGGTTAACTGCCGATTGTGTGGATTTGTGTAGGAGACCAAAACAGAGTAGTAGATTTAAAATTCATGTGGTACTTGAGTTTATGGATAAAAACGTAGCTTAGCTTATGGTTTTTGTTTGGTGTCGGACAGGTGGCGATACCGGTTGTCCCCACAGTGAGAGTGGTGATAACATTCACTAAGTTCGTCGAGCTCCCGCCAACCGAGCAGTTCTTCACTCCAATGTCAAGCCCCAGACAGTTTATCCACGAAGGACGAGGCCAGCACCAACATCTACAGCAGGAGGAGGAGGAGGAGGAGGAGCACAAGTACAAGTCACAGAAACCATCATCCTTGTCGTCGTCGACGTCGTGGCTGAGACGGAGCAGCAGCCAGTCGGGGTCCGGGAGCAAGCAGAACCACCAACCCCAACGCGGTGCTCCACCAGCAGCGCAAGACTCGTCCGACCCTTTTGCCATTCCTAGTGGCTATACGTGGACAAGTATCGAGGACAAGTCTCGCAAGATGAGGAAATCCAAGTCCATCAGGAGATCCAAGTGACCTGTGTAATCTTCCCAATTGAATTTGACACCATGAAATTTATGGAAATTAGTAGATAGATAGATAGATAGATTTTGATTGATGAGGAGTTACGTCATTCGTGTGCTTTTTGTTTTTCTGAAAGTTGCATATATAAGATGATTGTAGATATGGCCAATCTAATCTTCAGTCATTTTCTAAATGGAGTTTGGTTAATTAGCTAATGGAGTTGCGGGCCGCAACAAGATTTTTGGGTTTGGCTCCAATCCAATGATGTAGACTGATTTAGTAAAGTTGTTAATCCCCAATTTTGTGTTGTCTTCTGTGGACTAATTCCTCAAGCCAGTGATGTAACGTGTTTGCCGTTTGCTCAGCCTTCAAATCATTTGTTCCCCCAAACTAGAACAGTTATGGTGACTAAAGTACTCTCTCGACAGCACTCTTTTACTTTCCTCTGAAGACCATTAGTCATAAAGAACCCTAAAGATAAAGAGCAAAACTTAAAACATTTCAAGTTTCCAACACGAAATTTGTACTACGTTGTAATTTTCTCTATTTATATATATATATATATATATATATATATCACTCTCGCTCTTTTGGTTTTGGTCTCCAGATTTATTTTCTTAGGTTGGGCCTAAATTTAATTTGTCACACAACTTAAATTGCATTCGAAATCTTTGCGTTCTTTCAAATGTGTTTGCTTTTTTGCCGTGGCGTGTTCCCTGTCTTAATGGTTAGGAGAGGAGAGGAAAGAGAGGAGAAAAACTTACATTTTCCATGTTTCATACTCCTCCATCTTTCTTCACACGTTACATGGAAATTTTACTTGAAAGAGAGTGAGAGGACTCAGAGGAGACCAAACTATTATATTTGATTTGATATAAAATGATATTCTTGTCGGTAATTGACTTACGGACAACTAAGCTCACCTTATGGTGTTGTTTGGTGGGACAGGCAACAAGCAATGCTGGTGGATGAGCTCCCTCCAACTGATCAACAATTTATCTGCACTCCAATGTCAAAGCCCAAGACAATTTGTCCATGAAGGTTGGGCTCCCCTCACTCATTCTTGGCGAAGCAACGTCCGGACTACTACCACATCTTGAAATTTTCGCATGAAATGAACTCCTACCTACCCCGTTTTCTCTCTCTTCAGAAGTGAAGCTACAATCAAGCAACATGTTTTTCCAACGGATTTTGATACCAATTAATTTTGTATTGATTTAGTAAAATTGTTGATCCCATAGTTTTGTTTTATTTGGAGCAATTAGTCACCTGATCATGTCTTTCTCTTTGCTAAGTATTCATTTTTTAATCAATTGTGTGCCCAACTCCAACACACAAGACAAGTCTCTTGACAGAACTGGTTCGCCGATTGTCTTTGAAAGTTCCGTGACAGGCTTGGAGCCAAGGGAGTGATGACATACAAACACGGTACAAAAGATTCTTGTTCACTCATAATAATACCCAAATGGGCTAAATCTATGGCCTTGAATGCTTGGCTGATATGAAGGCAATGCAGCGACCAAAGGGTAAAACAAATTAGTTATGTTGGATATAAGAATTCACATTAGATATAGAAATGACTTGGTCATCTTGAATTCATTATCCTACACTTGAAGCAGTCAATTATTGAGCATTTGCACATTTGGTTGACCAGCTAAACTCAGAAAAGCAAATACCCCTCATTTGGAGCCCCAAAGTGCTACGGGGCTCATTTGAGATATCTATGTGCCCCAAAGCGCCATGGAGCTTATTAGGATGAGATGATGTGTCTTGAGTTGAGAACTGAGATGCCTTGTTCGTTAAGGAAAAAGATGCTCTGCCTCTCTGCCTATGCCTCTGCACGTCTAGGAATCTAGAATGGAAATGGTGGTGATGATTGTTGATAGCACAATGAAGGGAAAATGCCAAACGATGCTTTGCTTCACTGGATGGAAACCAACCAGTGAGTTGGCAAGTCCTTTAAAAAAGGTGTATATATTGAGGTGACAGACAGCCCACCCATCCCATGTGGCCCCTTGTTTCTTTTATTGAGCAGCTTCAAAGGTCTCTAAATACAACTGCAACTCGCTAGTGTTCTTGGTTAACTCCACCAGCTTTCTAAATCTACACGCTATCTAAAACCAGGTACTCTCTCTCTCTCTCTGAAATAATGGCTATCTTGATTTGCTGTTTGAAGGGTTTAAATCCTCTGTTTGTTTGCTACCAGCATAGCCTTGGAATGTTAATTGTTGTTGTTGTTGTCTATTTCTTTGCTTTCATAAAGGATGATGTGGGGAGTTATGGTTTGCCTGCAAATCTTCTTTGATTTTGATAAAAAGCCTTCCTATAAACTCTTAGATTCCATGATGAGTTCAGATCCATCTTCCACTGGTAATCAAAGAAAATGTGAAAACCAGATAGATGTCTCTGCATCTTTTGAATGTGGTTTGCCTTCGTCTGTTAAAGAGTTTTCTACACTAACATATCATATTGGTTGAAATCATATAAACACGTATAGATCTCCCTTTGAGTTGCTATGACATCAACTTTTGGATGGATGGTGATGGTAAATTTGTATCCCCCTTAAATTATTATACATGTTTATGGAACAGAGTGGTTGGAGACTTTGAGAGAATGGCAACAGAAGCACCGGGGTGGGCCGACCAATGGGGTGCCGGTGGCATCGGTGCCCTGGAGGATGGAGACAACACCAAAGCCACAGAAAACAGCAGCAACAACAAGAAGGCAGATACCAAGTCTGGATTAGGCAAAGCCAAGGTGGCTGCAATGGCTGGCGCAGAAAAGATCAAAAATGGGACATCCAATGGTATCAAATGGATCAAAAATCAGTGCCAGAAAAAAAAACCCTCTAAACCAGTAAACTAAATTGTCAACCTTAATAGATTGTATCCAGAGCCGTCATATATCTGGAAGTCAATTGTTTGTTGTTAAGTGGCGGTTGTGTTTTATTCTATGCCATTGATTGAAGGCCAGGACGGGTCTCTGATTTCTTTTTCCTTTTTCAGACAACTTTATTCATGCCTAATTCATCCAAAACAATCTCAATCCTAAGTAAAGACCATTAGAAACAAAGATAACTGGAAATTTATCAAATTAGTTAAAACCCATAAATTATATACAAATTTATAAATAAACCCAATACTAGACATGTATTTATAAAAAAACCCAAGCACTATTTAAACATAGAAACACACTCAAAATCAACCCCAAAGTCAACTTTTTGGGTGTGTTTATAAATGAGTTTTGAGTGTGTGTAATGATGGGTTTTGGGTGTGTTTATATGTTTAAATAGTGCTTGGGTTTTTTTATAATTTCAACCCCCATTTTGGGTGTTTTAGTGAAACTCCCTAAATTATAATCCCTAGAAATTCAATAAAATAAAATAATAATTAGTTCCATCATCATGTTAATGCCAATAATTTACATTTGCTAAGTTCTATTTACAGTCTTGCTTTAAAAGGAACCAAAGACATTCTCTCCACTGTAGGTCAAGTAAAGAAATCCATCTTCATCCTTGTTTTCCTCATAAATGGTAGACATCACGGCAGCTGTAACATAGGAAGAAATATTAAGGCCACAACTTTGGAACAAGATCTTATGACTAAAAACAAATGAATTGCAACTGACCAGTTGGAGGGAGAGTATTCTTGACAAAGACGAATATAGCCTTTTCTGCCTCGAGCTTGATCCTCTTCCGGACAACATAAACAAACTGTCCAACACTCAGATCAGCCGGGACAAGGTATCTGCAGAGAATAACAAAATAGCAGCACACGGTTAAGAAACCCTTGATCTTAGAGAAGCTATATGAACACTATGAACTTGGAGTTTTCCTTTCTATTAATAAGTACATTTTCAATCAGGTATGCAAATGTTATATTTGGTAGGAAGACTTAGTTACTTAGGTAACCAATTCATGCAAAAACAATGATCAGGACCATTCCTAACCACTCCTAGAACTTCATTT